GGACACGGCTTCATTGCCGGCCTAGCCTCTTTCAAATGAAGCTAGACATGCATGCAACCACAAACGTAGTACTTCTATATTATACAATCCCTAAGTCTGTATTATACTCTCTCGAGAAATAATAAAATAAAATGTGTGTTGTTGATGTTTGTGCAGAAGAGAGAAAAATAATTGAAATCACAAAAGAAAGATGACAATGTTTTAAGAGATGGAGAAAGTATATGAAATATAATATGAAAGAATGAAAAAAGTATTACATATGGGGTTTTGATGGAAAAAATATGACCATTTTATATTTGGACATAAAAGTGACAAATTGAAAATGAATTGCACCTCTCCCCTACACAATTCATCGATCTCAGATAGCTTTCTTCTCTGTGCCTTCTCTCTTCGCACGCCATCCTCCTTAGTCCTTATTGTGCCAAACCGCCGACCAACCCCGTCACTCTGTCACTGTCTAGACAGTCGATGTGCCTCGCCGTCCCGAGCTTGAGGTTCGTCGACCAGCTTATTTAGATTAACGACGACCAACACGCGACCATATGATAGGGATGACGGCGGCTAGGTTTGCAATGGCGAGTGGGTGGCGGACGAATGGATGGACTATATGATCTGAGATGACAACCAACAAGCGACCAGATATGAAAGAGGGTGCAGTTAAGGTTCATTGGTGGAAGGTCGGGGCTGGGCTATCAGAGGTGGGGCTGGGGAGGGGTGGATCGGGGATGGGCTATTCGAAGCTGAAGCTGGAGGAGTTGGTTGGGGCCAGGAGGGATAGGGGACAGGGCTAGGGAAAATAGGAGTGGAGCTGGGGGCTAGGGACTTGGGAGGGGCATGAGCAATAATTGGTGTATCGGGTAACGGCCATGGCGGCAAGGTGTCAGCGGGGTTGCTGGCAGCGATATCGGTGGTAGATTTTTTTAATTGTGTTGTAATTGTTAATGGTTTAAGTCACTGTGAATGGTATCACTATGACGGTGTCACCGTGTGACTATGGTCCGCGACAACCAACAGCCATCACTGGCCACCGGTTGGGGTGGTCCTATTACAAAGGTCATTGTGCGGGTCACATCACTATCAGATAATATAACTGCAATCTAGGAGTATTTAGTATGTTTAACACTTATTAGTCACATTTTTTATAATTAAAAGAAAAGCTCAAAACCATATAAATGTGACAGAGTTGTCTAACGGAATACTGAATTTCACCACCGATTCTTCGCCGCTTCTTTGTTGTCTCAGCATCACCGTGAAGCGACCACAATCATGAACTCGAGAACCTGAACAAAAACTTTCCCGAGGGTGCGACAGACATGTTTGAGGCATTGACGATGTCCAAGGTCAGCGAAGAAAGGGTCGACTGTGAGCTGTTCAACAGAGTTCAAATTAGGGGGAGACAGAAAGGGATGCCTCGTACATGCGATATAATCCGGATTGCATTAATTGTTGGGAAATGTGCTAATAAATTGCGTTAAATGGTCATTTTGGGGCAATTTTTTGAGTGGGGTCCACTTCCAATTTGGGCCGGGTCAAAGCGGTTTCGGGTTGTCCTTGCTTCTCGAAGTTCACTCGTTGAAATGGAGAAAACTAGAAAAAGATGCGTTTCTAGTGTAGTTATTTCCCACACCGGAATATCCAAGGGAATTTGAATCCTTTATAAAGGGAAACCCCCCTCAAGGAGTTAAGATTCCTTAGGGTAAAGACTCTCTCCCGCGCGCAGAGGGGGGTGGGGTGGGGTGGGGTGCAAATCAAATCCCGAAATCGGAGAACAAAAAGCGTGACTTGCGTGCGCGGGCGACCTGTGGACACGGTATGAACCAATGCCAGCATTCTGGACATTGATGTCCAACGTTCATGGCTGTCCAAACGTTACTAACGCATGCAAATCCACCCCTATAAATTGCCTAGCAGGTGCTTTACAAACACACACGTTCATACACTTCCGTCACATATTTTTTTGAGCTAAAAACACCTCTATCATCCCATAATCTTCCTCTGTCTTCTTGCTTTGTTCTCGTTCGCTGGAACTATTCGGTTGAGTGCTCAACGAATAGCTCGTAGTCATCGTATCCTGGGAAACGATCGTTGCAACTCTCCTAGCACCCCGGGAGGCAACGAATACGTTTTAAGGATATCGTGTGTAACACGAGCTTTGGCTATTTTCTGCTTCATCTATTTTCTGTTTTTCGTTTAGTCATTTTAATTAATTAATTAATCTTCTTTGTTTTCCGAAACACACCTAACATTAATCAGTGGATAAGAATCAATAGATCTTGGGCGATATGCAGGTTCGAGTTGAATGGAAAAGTTGAAGATTGAGATGGTCAAACGGCGACTTAAAGTTGCTCTCGATGAAGGTGGATGTGGTGTGAGTTAGACTCCGCCGTTTCACTTGATCAAATCCAAACTCGGTCTTTGATTTCACCTCTTAAGACGCCGTTTCATGTTCCAAAAGGTTGAATCATCAACCCTGAGGGCCCTCACACCCCGACTCGACATGATATTTGAGGATTGTAAGTCACGGTGACTTAGTCAGCCCAATTGTAGTAGACCTTGTACTTGTGCGCATCATATGTTCAACCAAGCATACAAGAGCTGTAACCTCCCCAAGACCGCTGCAGGTTTCTATCCTTAGTCAATGTTTCAATTTTCATATCACTCAACCAATTGAGCTACCCGTGTAGGCTTTATTTTATTTTCATAGTAGTGTGAAACATTATTCTTAACTGAAACAATATACGTAGCATAGGTTACTCCGTATTAAATAACGTTATTCTTAACTGAAACAATATGAAAAAAATTCTTCAGTATTACTTTTTAAAATGTGGTAGACAAAAATATTACTTAGTAACCATTAGTGACTATAATTGTGTTCAAAGTTTACATTATAGTAACTCACACGTAATTACTAGGATGTAAATTTGAACACAATTATATTAAGTAATAGTTAGTTACTCCGTACTAAATAATATTTTTGTTTAAGACTTTTTTAGTAGTACTACCTCCGACCCTCCGTCCCATTCAAAGGTTCCAAACCATTGTTCACATGATCAACTTAAATCATTCTTAATCTTTTTCTTTATGTATCAAATTTTTTATATCAAATTTACATTTTTTATCGAGCTTTGTAGCGGTTTTAATGTAGTTTCTGAATATGTAAACTTTATTTACTAAAAATAACCAGAGTGTGAACAAAGATTAAGTTGCTTTTCAGTCAAGTATCGTAAACCGAATCGGCAACCTCTCTATGGGACAGAGGGAGTAATATTTAAGGAAAACCCCCAAAGAATATACGTAGTATAAGTTACTCTGTATGAAATATATAAATTGCTCAAACTAAGATAAATAATTAAATGCATATGAAACATTTTAAAATAAACAATACCGTATTGTTATGTGACCCTCAATATTTTATATTATTATACTCAAATTCAAAATCACAACTTTTACATTTTCAACCACTTTATTAATAATTGTGTCAAACAAAAACAACATATATAAAATAAGATGGATGTGGTATAAAAAAACTCAAAGGTATATTAGTTGTGCCTACCAAACATGCAGGAAATGTAGAAATTTCGTCCCTTATTAATTAGTCATATTTGATTTCGGAAATGAAATGATGATAAATTTGGCAAATCATTATAACTCATACGTGTTCCGTATTTTAAAGTTTGTTAAACTTTGTTTTTGGGATATGTTTAAAAGTTTACTGCAATTTCCCCTTTTAGTATGTTTTCCCTTTAAAATAAAATACACATTTACATTTATTTTATTTTATTTTATCTTTCATACAGAGTACTTTTTATATCTTTGCCCTACTTTTTCTACACTATTCATTACTTTATTAGTTATTTTCTATAAATAATGTAAATAATGTATCAAGTCTATTGTACAAATCTTTAAAATAGCAAGAGAGCATACTTTTGCGATACTTGTACATTTGAAACAGTAATTTGAACAATTAAACTTTTTATATTAAAAGTATTTTCTAGCTAAAAGTTTAGCGAATTGTGTTAAAATATTTGTCTCACACTGAAAGTTATAAACTAACAAAACACTATTTAAACTTTGATACTCTTTCTATCAGGTTGACTTTCAAGATTGAACTTCGAGACTTAACATAGTATAAGAGTCAAATCCGGTTGTGATTTCAGTGCTTTTAGCACCCATGATCTTGTCAAAGGTCTGTTTGACACATTTATACACAAAGGTATTTTGTAGCACAATTGGAATGTTAAAATTTATCCCACACTGGAAAAGTATAAACTAACAAAATACTACGGCGTATATAAGAATCGAGGATGGAAATTCTAAAGAGAGAGTGTAATATATATGCGGGAAAAGGGTCAAATAGGTCCTCGAACGTACATAAAAAGGGTCAAATGAGCCTTTACATAGGAGAGATTTTTTCCTGCCGTCGCCATTTGGGGAGTTCCCGGTGGAATTTTTTGATGAATTTTTGTGAGCATCTTATTCATTAAGTCTAGTTTACTCATATCAAATTTCAGCTAACAATTCAATCGTGAAGGCATTCAAATGAATTCTTGAAGATAACTGCGCAGTTATCTTCAAGAATTCATTTGAATGTCTTCATGATTGAAGTTTTAGCTTGAATTTGGTATGAATAAACTAGACTTAATGACTAAGATTCTTGTTGGGATAATTTATCCCGGCCTATTACTGTTCAGGAGCCCAAGACATTATCCAGTACGGAGCCCGAGCAGCTAGGTCCATTTCGGCCCATTCTGGCCCACTTTGGCCATTAGGCCCGACTTCGGCCTGTTTGGCCCATTAGGGTGGAGTACTTCCCTCACCCCTTTCCCTATTTATAGGAGGTTTTCCCTCCATGTAAAGGATCCCCTTTTCCTCCTTCTTCATGCTTCTTCTTCTCTAGATTAGCTTGATCCTCCATGAATAGGAGCTTGAATATTGTACTATGTAATGGTGAGGACTGAGGAGAGTCCTAATGAGAATGAGAGGGCTTGGACATTAGCCTAAAAAGTCCCGTGGTTTTCTCCCTTTCGGGTTTCCACGTAAAAATAGCTTGTTCATACACATTTATACATATATTTACTATATCGTGTTGGATTAAACTCAACACTGACGCCGTTTGTGGGAATCTGTCCAAAAAGATTCACGTTGTTCTTCCTTTCTAAGAAAAATTCATACGAAAATACACTGACTTCAGCAAAAAGAAACAAATAACTCTGGAAACGAAGCAGGAAGAAGATGTTGCTTCCAACGAGAAAGCGGAAGTTTGAGAAGCTAAGAAATCTGGAAATCTTAACCCAGTGTTTTTAGATCTGAGTTGGGGTGACGAAGACCGTCGTCTCCATTCCCGCCGCCATGGACTCCTTCCGACGAGTGGACCCGCACCAGGTGGAGCTCCAGCAGCGTCCTAGGCCTCACCCCCGGCAACACAGGTCCTGGCAGTCCAACTAACCGAGTTCGCCGTCGGAAGAGGCCGTCCGAGTTCGCTGCCGCAGCCACGTCGGACCTCACGACCACTGCTGTTGCGGGCCCCGTCAACCAGTGAGCCGCATCTTCACCTCCGTTGCAGTTCGACCTCCAGCCAGGTAAGCTTCCTCCATTAATGGTGGTTCGGAGCGCAGGGAAGTAAAAACCGAAGCTCAATGGGTCTCCCCACGAAACCACTCCCTCTAGCCGGCCTCGCTGCCGCGACTACCGTCTCCACCGGCGAAAAGGTGGCCGGCACGTACAGCCTGCCTCTGGGTAGGTGTGCGTAGGAGGTTTTCCATCCGCCCCTCCGAAGAGATACTCCGTATCGGGTGCCTTGGTGCTCAACAGGCCACGTCCGAGAGTTTGAGGCCAAGTATTGGAAGGCCAGTCTGTTTTGAGGAGTTGGCCAACAGATCGATGCATCAGCAGCTGGGTCCATGGGTTGAAAAACAGATGCGAACATGGATTGATGGATTTTGACCAAGTCAAAATTGAAAGAAGAAAATAGGGAGCAAACCTGACAATACTCCACTGGCCGAAAACATCTTTGAAGCTAAGTGCCCTATTCTTGAACTTTGAATTGATACTCCGTAATTGTTTTGAAATATTACTAGTATTGTCATTAGTTAAATTATTTTATCACCATTATTTATTAGGGATTAAAACCTCCCGAAATTAAATAATGCCGAGCGACGCTCTTGTGATAATTAGTTTTCACCGTCATTTAAATTTAATGACTGGTTGTTGTGGGCCCGTCGGCCCGCTCCTGATCGGCTTAAATTAGCGGGCGGAGCATACCAGAATGGCCTTTGATAGGATGACATCATTGCTATTGTCGTTATATCCCTATTATTTATTAGGGGTAAAATGTCCCGAATTAAATAATGCAGAGCGAAGCTCTAGTGATAATCAGTTCGGCCAACTTTTTTATTAAATATTTAGTTGTTGGTGGGTTCGATTAGCCCACTCTCGATCGGCTTTGATTAGCGATCTGAGCGTCTCCAGGGGGTAGTGCCCCGGTGACGCGTTTTAATTTGGGGGGTTACGCATTAGTCCGCACGGCACCAAGTGCTCGAGCGACGATCGTACCCTAGTACCATCTACGCCATTAGGCGCGAAGTGACTATTGCCGAACGTGGCCTATGGGGCCTGAGGGCACCAAAGCACTCAACCTCGTTTTTTCGAGGGCAGTGCGACCAACTTGGGTCTGAGTTTGAAAACTCACAGACCGATGAATATCTCTATGTGACGTTCGGCGGGCTGCTAATTGGCCCCGCCGCGAGCTGCTACGTCCATTAACCCCGCACGATGAGCCGGGCCGAGGGTCACGATGACCCATAGGCCGGTAATCGTGGGTGTTAGAGAGAAAGCCATGCAGATGGTTATGTGTGTATACATATTGTCGGGCCGTGCGGCCCGTTACCATGCTTATTGCGCAGCTGAAGCCGCTCGACGCGCTCGAGTGAAATGATTAAAAGACGATCGGCCTAGGTCTCAAAGACGTTCAGGGCCAGCTAAAGTGGAGACCATCACGGCTGAGAGCCGATGGACGAGCATCTCCACCCAGAGGTCGAGAGCCTAGAGGAGACCACCACGATTGAGAACCGTGGGACGAGCATCTCCACCCCAGAGACCGATGGCCTAGGAAGAACACCTAGAGGCCGAGGGTCTAGAGGCGAATGCCATGACAGAGAACCGTGAGACGATCACCCGTCATTCAGAGGCCGAGGGCCTAGAAGAGATCGTCACGGCCGAGGGCCGTCTGACGCCATCATTACATCATGACCGGCCCCTCGGCACGGCATGATCATCATATTTGAAGACCGGCCTCGTCCCCGCACTGCACGGATGAGGACCGTTGCTTGGTTTTTTCATGTCGGCCTTTCATTGCCGACATCATTACATCATGACCGACCTCTCGGCATGGCATGATTATCTCATTTGAAGACCGGCCTCATCCCCGCACTGCGCGGATGAGGACCGTTGCTTGGATTTCAGATCGGCCTCTCATTGCCGACTATCATTACATCATGACCGGCCTCTCGGAACGGCATGATTATCTTATTTGGAGACCGCGCTCATCCCCGCGATGCATGGATGATGACCGTTGCTTGATTTCAGATCGGCCTCTCATTGCCGACACCGTTATATCACGACCGGCCTCCCGGCTCGGCATGCTTTCCATATTTGAAGACCGGTTTCATCCCCGCTCCTCGTGGATGACGGCCGTTGCTTGTTTTCTCAGATCGGCCTCTCATTGTCGATGTTATTATATCACGACCGGCCTCTCGGCACGGCGTGTTTATCTTTTGAAGACCGGCCTCGTCCCCGCGCTGCGCGGATGAGGACCGTTGCTTGATCTTGGTCGGCCTCTCATTGCTGGCATCATTACATCACGACCGGCCTCCCGGCCCGGCGTGCTTTCCATATTTGAAGACCGGCCTCATCCCCGCTCCCCACGGATGAGGACCGTTGTGTGCTCACTCTCAGATCGGCCTCTCATTGTCGATATCATTATATCACGACCGGCCTCTCGGCACGGCGTGTTTATCTTTTGAAGACCGGTTTCATCCCCGCGTTGCGTGGATGAGAGCCGTTGCTCGGATATATCATCCTGATCGGACACTATTGTCATCTCCCTATCATGACCGACTGCTCAGCGACATTATGATCATTGTATATCGGCTCCCAACGCCGACCTTCTTGAGTTAGCGATCGGGCTCACCCCTCCCCTCCAGGAGGGTGACCATCGCCTTCGCATGACGACCAGCTATTCCATCGCCTCGTCATTTTATTCGTTTTGGTATCCCACCACCATTATGTGTGACATCACTTGTGGTCATTCTTAGAACCGACGAATGTATTTTCCTCCCTCAAAAAAAAAAAGAAAGAAAAAGAAAAAAAAAGATGGGGAGAAGGGGAGACAAGCTCCTATGAGAGAGGGAGTCTTGACGAGGTATGCCAGATCTTCCTTCGCCGCGGATGACGAACGTCTCCTGACACGGAGGCCAGTAGGAACGTGGGGGGGGGGGGGGGGGGGGGGGGCTAGACAAACCAAAGGGAACCTCGGCAAGATAAACCAGTTCCTCCCATTTCCCGTGGATCGACGAACACCATCTGCCATAGCAGGAGGCTAGTAGGGCCACGAGCATGGGACGACGAAGCAGGGAACCCGCGATAGGGTAAACCAGTTCCTCCTTGCGATCGGTGGATGCCGAACGTCTTCTTCGAGGGAAGAAGATTAGTAGGATCACGACAGGGACGAACAAAGAAACATGAACCCTGACAGGGTATACCGGTTCCTCCCCCTTGATGGACGGATGACGAACGTCTTCTACGAAGCCAGAAGACTAGTAAATCACGACTGGGGACGAACAGAGATAGGGAATCCCGACGTGGATAAACCTGTTTCTTCTCATAGTTGGGATGACGAACGTCTCCTGCGAAACCAGGAGACCAGTAACTCACGAGACTTGGGAAGAACGAAGAACCAGTTCTTTACCGGAGTCTGTTGCGTGCCGAGTGTACACCGCTTAGCGGTCCATACATAGGACCACGGATACGGTAGACGAACGAAGACCAGCTCCATGGATCAGACACGAAGAACCAGTTCTTTACCGGAGTCTGTTGCGTGCCGAGTGTACACCGCTTAACGGTCCATACATAGGACCACGGATACGGTAGACGAACGAAGACCAGCTCCATGGATCAGACACGAAGAACCAGTTCTTTACCGGAGTCTGTTGCGTGCCGAGTGTACACCGCTTAACGGTCCATACATAGGACCACGGATACGGTAGACGAACGAAGACCAGCTCCATGGATCAGACACGAAGGACCAGTTCTTTACCGGAGTCTGTTGCGTGCCGAGTGTACACCGCTTAGCGGTCCATACATAGGACCATGGATACGGTAGGCGAACGAAGACCAGCTCCATGGATCAGACACGAAGGACCAGTTCTTTACCGGAGTCTGTTGCGTACCGAGTGTACACCGCTTAGCGGTCCGTACATAGGACCACAGATACAGTAGACGAACGACGATCAGCTCCCCAGATCAGGTAGGAGGGACATTGCCCAGATTTATTTCAGGCTCACCATTCCTTCCCGGATGGAGTCCTGGCAGACGATCGGCTTCTCACAACCAATCAGGAGAGATACTTGACACATCACCAGCACGGCCGAGGGCCGTGAGACGATTATCACTCACCGACAGGCCGAGGGCCATGAGATGATCATCACCATTTTTATGTATCGCGATCGGCCCCTCAGCGCCATCATGTCCAGACTCACGGTTTGGCTCGCCCATTCCCTCCAGGATGGCGACGACCGTCTTATGCAGTACGATCGGCCCCTCAGCGCCATCGTACCCAGCTCACGCTCAACTCGTCCATCCCTTCCAGGGTGGCGACGAACGTCTTATGCATCACGATCGGCCCCTCAGCGCCATCGTGTCCAGACTCACGGTTCGGCTCGCCCATTCCCTCCAGGATGGCGACGACCGTCTTATGCAGTACGATCGGCCCCTCAGCGCCATCGTACCCAACTCACGTTCATCCCCTCCAGAATGGCGATGACCATTCTCAACACATTTTATGAAAAAAATCCAACGGGAACAACCCGAAATGGCGATCGCCGGACAGAGCCTCCTATATAAAAGTTTATTTGAGTAAGTTCGAGTGCCTATTGACCCTTTCCCCTATATATGCGGGTGGTCCTAATTTACTCAAAGTCAAAATTTGCAACAAGAGTGACTCAAGCAAAGAGAGCCTCCTACTGCCTTATTGTTGGTGTTGGTTCGACCACAGCCGTCCGATCGAATACAGATAGAGATGACAAGCACCGCAATCGACTGACTTGACTGACTACACGAGTCCTTGTGGGCCTACCTATACGGAGTGGTGTATATAAATAAGTAAATAAATAAATAAATAAATACGGAGTAGCAATTAAAGGAAGTCATAGAGGAGAGCATTTGTGATTTCATTTCTTCCGAACTTCATATTTTATTTATTTACTTATTAAATTATTACTACATTAATTAAATGGCTCTTCCGCGTAGACTTGTGTCATCGCCACCGCCTCCTTGGAGGACAGCGACGGAGGCCGATCCACCGTCCGCAGTCAACACCGAGTCTGATTTTGTAGTCATCCTTGCGGCGCTCCTGTGCGCTCTCATTTGTGTGGTAGGGCTTGTGGTGGTGGGCCGCTGCGCCTGGCTCCGCAGGGCCCGGGCCAGGAATTCGCCGCCCAACAAAGGCCTCAGCAAGAAGGTGCTCCGCTCGCTGCCCAAATTCACCTACGGCGCCGACGATTGTGCCGGCGGCAAGGGTTTCGCGGCCGAGTGCGCCATATGCCTGGCGGATTACGAGGACGGCGACCAAATCCGAGTGCTCCCGCAGTGTCGCCACGCTTTCCACGCCGAATGCGTCGACAGTTGGCTCGCCTCCCACTCCTCCTGCCCATCGTGCCGCCAGATCCTCGTCGCCTCCCGGTGCCGGAAGTGCGGCTGCAAGGACCTCCCGTCCGGCGAAGGAAGAAGCCAAAGCAGCAGCAGCTAGCTAGCTTTGATGCAAATTTTGGGCGGATCCAACCATTGATGAATGAGAAATCCCGGCGGCACCGGCACGGCAATGTTCGAGCTATTTCCGGGTCGGGTTGAAGACTTGAAGTGTACTGTTATTATGTACGTATATAGATAGATAGTCGTATACAGAAAGAAAAAAGAAGGAAAGGATAAATACGTAGGTTCGGTAGATTATTTATATCGCCGTTTCTGGATCACGCCACACTCATTTCTCATCGGATCTAGTGTATACCTCTTTTCCTTCTTACACATACTGCATAGTTTTGAACTTTTAATTAATTTTCTACACTTTTCCCTCTATGGCTCTATCTAATTGTTAAATCTGTTGTTGACATTTGAGATGGGTCCATTGATATGTTCACTTTGCCAAACCGAATAGAAATTAATCTTACGGGCCAAGTATCTTGATCTTGTGATCTGATGACAACACTGCGACACTTTCAAATAGGAGGTCACAGGTTCGAATCTCATCCCTGTTCAAGAATGTTGGCTTTAACAGAAGAGACACTATAATAGATTAGAAAGATTTGTTCAAAAAAAGTTGATCTTACGGAACATTCATCAATTTAACATAAAAATGGCAAAAATATATATTACTCCGTTGAAGATAGAGGTTTTGACTAAATATTAATAATAAATGGATAATGGACAAAAAGTGACATTCTTTTTTAATTTCCCAAAAAATGTGACTAATAAATAATAAGCTACAGTAAGTCAGTAACATGCTATAGTGATCCAATACAGTGACAAATGACGCGTTATAGTGACATGAGCACAGGGACATCCATCACCTCATGACCTGTGATCGCCGTCGGCACGAGGCTGTCACCGACTACAGTGACGCCGCCAAAGTGACACTACAAAAAAAACTCTTTATAGAGGCAACCCTTAGAGGCAATATACATATAATTGCCTCTAAATGACTCTTTTAGTGTCACATAAAATTTAGGTGCCTCTAAAGCCATAATTTGAGGCAACCAAATTCTACTTGCCCCTAAAGTGCACAATTTGCGACAACCTTCTTTATATTTGCCTCCGAAGGTAAATTTTAAAAGAATAATTGCTTCTAAACATTTGTTGCTAATTTGCTATTACCAATACTTGATGCTCGAGGCAACCAAGTCAATATGCTCTCTAAAAGTTAATATTAGCCGATTAGCGTATGGTAAATTATGTATATTAAGGCAATCAAATACTACTCACATCTAAAAGTTATTCAGAGTATATTTTAACTAAAGAAAATATATAAAGATGAAGAACAATAAAACTATTACGGAGTACTTCATTTATCTCACAACCTGTTTGACAACACCATTTTTCGGCTTATTAGGCTTCTCACCCAACTTTTTCAACAAACATGTAATTTTTGCTTTCGCGCGCTGAATTGTGTAATAAGCAAAAAAAAAGTAAGGTTGTAGTTACTTTTCTGGCTGAAGTTACTGTAGATGACTATTTTAGTTATTTTTACATATAATTTTTTCTTTATTTTATTAATACAATATATTTTAAAAATAATTATTTTTTCTTAAATCAGCAGAATTAGCCAATGCAGTCACTTCAGCCAGAACTTCATAAATTTCAACAGAATCATCCAAATCAGTCGATTTTGGTGCTACCAAATGGGGCTCTTATTTTGCAAGCTAGATACACGTTTTCTTTTAAGCTACTGGTGCTAAGTTAAACTCGCCCCTAATTAGAAGATCACTATTTTACTACTTTTCCATTTTGTATATACTATCGTATTATCTATCTCTATCTATAATATACTTCGTATTTCACCTTATTGTTTTTGTGAGATCACGCTACTTTTCTGTTTTTACCTTTAAAGTTACAACTACATCTTTTAGTTGTAAAAAACACAATATGATTTATATTTTGAAAACCTGTGCCATTTAAAATAGACAGAGTACTCTAATTAATTAGGATGATTTTATTTGGATATATTTCAGTACCAGACCAAGTTTTGACAGTTATGAAATATTGAAATATACTCAAAACAAATACTTGTAGTATATTGGTCTAGTTTAGACTTAATCAAATCTAACCATACCAGATAATCGAAGTCAAAACATCCTTACAAATAACCACAAAAAATTGCTATATTTTTTTTTGGCAAGCAAGAATATTATTTTTATTAACTAATGAGAAATTGGGAAAAAATATTCTAATCGCAATCATAAAAAACAATTAAAACACTGACCGCATATCCACAATTGTGATTCTAAAAAAAACCTCTAAACAATGGCTCATTTTAAAGTTTTTTCAAGAAATTTACATTCGCACAAGGCCAAAACTAATCCCGCCCCTCCGTTTCCCAAAAAATTAAAGTCTCGCGCCCCCTCCTCAAATAGTGAAATCCCTGATTTACATTTCAATTGAAACCCTATGTCTCCCTTAGCTTAGAACCTTGCATCGCCGTCTTCGGTCCTCACTCGTGTTAGCCGCAATCAAAGGGATCGACAACTGGTTCTCAGTTTTTCGGATTCGGGCACAGTGCTGATTACCGATTAGATTAGTTTCCTGCATCGAGAAGCGACTGGTACTCCTTAGGGTTCATCTTTTCATTCATGGTTATCATGCTTCATCTAATGCGTCAGATTTCTTCGAAGTAAGTCTCCCTACTTAATTTAGTTTCCCGTTTTTCTTGAATTTACATGAATTGCTAGTGAATTGTCAGCATATCACAGGTATTAATATCTTCTAACAGAATAGGCCTTTCTGAATGGGGTAAAAGAACATGGGATCGTTCATCTCTTCTTTCAAGATTGGTATGAGTCGATGTCGGTCAAAGGTGTGAAAACACTTCCTGATGTCGAATTCCAAAAACCTGCTACAGGTTCCCCACTCTTCTTTGGTACGTTATTACCATGTGAGCCAGGGATGTTGCAGTTGAATTAAAACAAAATATGTGGTAGGTTCTTACGTAACCCTGTCTCAATCTCAATTTTTTTTAAGATTTAGGAGAATAATAGAAAAAGATTAGTGATGGTTGATAAAATATTGCTAATTATAACAAAATTTGACTATTATATTTTATTATTTTCGATTTTAACATATATATCTATTTCTCAGAACGTTTCAAATAAAATTTTAGGTGACTTTCTATTTCTTATTCTTATTTATATAATAAATTGATGGAACCATTCCATGATAATTAAATGGGTTTTTAATGATACATGCATATGTATCTAGGTCTGTAGTATTAAAGTGTAGAACATATTATGTTCTATGATGTTTTTGTTGCACATGCCTAAAACTTTTAGTATGAAAATATGCTAGATTTTGAAGGCAGGCATTTGCCTACTTCACATATCTTATTCAAAGCTTTATTCTATGATGCAGATGTGCAGGTAGCACCGTAGCAGTCATACTGCACACTACTTATTTGTAAAAATCATTATATTATGGAGTTGTAATGCCTATTCAAGAAGTTACAAATGCAGAGTGCATAGGTAAGCATTGATTGGTTTTGCCTTGTGACATTGTTTGTTGACAAATATGTGTGTCATTTTCTTTATCAAGAGAAGATGCGTCTAAGTTGTCTGATTGATGATGACACTTATATATTTGGTTTATTGGGATTTTGGTTGATTTCTTCTTTTTTAATATAGGTTTGGTTGTTTGTTTCTTTAGCTACTTTATTCTTCCTCAATTTCTTTCATAGTTGTTTGATAGTAGTTTTTTCCTTTCCTTTTGCAAGTTGGCCTAATTATAATACTTGTGCAGGAATATGCACCCCCCGAAGAGGAGACTTGGGAAAGAAATCCTGCAGTTTGGAGTTGCTCGTGACATTAGCCAGATATATGATAGTTCCATTTTGTTCCAAGTTGAATTTGCCTGAACTTTGTATGGTTGAGATTCAATGACTTGTAGATTAATCCTTTAGTAGGCATTATAGCTTTGTATTGTGAACCATTATTGTACAGACCTTATTCTGTATTTCAGTTGCATATTAACATATGCTATGACTTTATGTAATGAAATTGTAATGAAATTTATTGTTAATTTGTATTTTTGTTACTACTTCATGAGAGTATTGCAGCTTGTTTAAATTAATTGAATCAAACGTGTTATTATTGCCAATATACCAAATTTGGTGACATGAAATTGTCTCTTAAAGCTTAAATAATAACAAAATAAATTATATCTGAATATACCTTGCCTTTAATGCTATTTTGAATCACTAGATCATGGTTGCTTCTAATTGTATTTTGAGACAACATACCATGGTTGCCTCAAATAATATTTTGGGATTAGATAATATGATTGCCTCAAATGACGTTTTGGGACAATATAATTTGGTTGCCTCTAAATGAGTATCATTAAGAGTCACATCCCTGGTTGCCTCTAAATGTACTTTTAGAGGCAACTATCATTTAGCGACGGAGTAATTGGAGGCAACCCATAAATTGCCTCTAATAATAATTAGAGGCTACTTTCCTATATTTAGAGGCAAATTTATCTCGCCTCTACAAACCATTTTTTATGTAGTGTGACGCCACAACAGCTCTCAGTCACATCAATTTTTTCAGTGACACCGTTGCCCGAAAATTACTCTGGCCCCTGCCACCTCAACAATATCCCTCCCCAGCATCCCAACTCCCCCCAAGCCCAGCCATAGCCACCGCACAATTGTTGTTTCGCCCTCATAGCCCATCTGTAACACCCTAGAAGTCAAATCCAGCCACCACACCTCGCCCCTCAACCAGTAAGTAAACACCATTGCTACAAGCCTGCAACCAAGACCCTAACTATTACTTGATTTGAAAATGCAAGGGCGACAATCGACCGGCATGGCCATTATAACACGAGACAGAAGGAGAGGAAAAATAAAGCGGTCGACGGACTTCCAATGACATTGAGCGACAAAGGTGCGAACCGAGGTGAGCGATGGTGTGGCGACAGGCTTTGACGGCAACGATGCGCTTTAACAATGCAACATCGCGTCACAGCGGCGATGGCTGAGCGACGTGACTTAGAGGAGGAGCTGCGACGTTGGCGGATCTGGGTGGAGCTTGAAGACGGAGGACATGGCTTGAAGGTGGAGGAGGTTTGGCCAAACAAAAGAGAACGACATATCTGGGTGGAGCTTGAAGATGGAGGACAAAGCTTGAAGATGGAGGAGGCTTGGCCAGGCAGAAGAGAACAATGCGCAGAGAAGGCACAGAGAAGGGTGACGGGCTGGACAGGCAAGAGACGATTCCTTTTTAAATTAAATGGTCATATTTTTGTCTATTAAAACCTTATAAGTAATATTTTTGAAATTCTTTCTTGAAGGTAATCATATGACTAGTTTTCATTTGTTCAAAAGATTCACTAATCATTATTTAATTGATACTCTACCTGTAAATTTTTCTTTTAGTTTTAATTTCTACTCAGTTATCCAACTTCATTGCCTTCTCCCGCAACATTTATCGGCGGTCCCTTGAATTGAATTAAAGGGTCACTAGTAGGCCACTAGACTGGAGCCACTGATTCTATGAGTCACTCATCATTGTTCACTAAAGTTAGTGTGAAGAGATCATTGGGCACCAATCATGGTAAAAACGTCATCTCAATCACTTATCATTTTATGCACAACTTTATCTTATAGTATTATTATGTTGGAATAAATCCAACAACACTTTAATCTTCATATTAGAATTATCTAGACAATTATTTACGTGGAAACATTTCTGACTCCATTGGAGATAATTTTTACATATCCGGAAGACATATTGTCACGCCCCAGACCGCATCTAAGCGCATATACAACCGCCGTATGACTAAATGACGTCACTCGCAAGTCAACGTGACTTGATCATACAAGGCGTCCATGAACATAGTTCATACCATACTCAGTAAGTAAACATAAATAACAACATCACATATTTGGATTGAACGTGTAACGCCCCAAAATCCGGCCTAGTTGTTAAGTTACATAAGAATATAATCTCAAAGATTATCTTTAATTAATCATTAATCTTGTTTAACTTTGAAATTAATATCCAACCTATTTCCACGAAGTATAAATAATAAAGTAACGTGAAGAACAGGGCCGGTCCCAAGAAAATACGGGCCCTGTGCAAAAATAAAATGTAGGCTTTTTTTAAAATAGGTAGAAATATAATATAAGTGAAGATCATATTTGTAAAAATTTGCTACAATAATAATAATTCATATATATCAAAATACAAGTTATTCACTAACATAATAGTTAAAATAAAACTATTCCCTCACAAAATACACTTCATTTATTTGTTAAATTGAATTATAAATTAATAGTTAAAATAAAATTATTCCCTAACATCAATATAATTGATAGACGTAATGAACATTTGATAAATATTTAATAGTTTGTTAATTTAATAATGACATGCAATAAAAAAAAATAGTAGTTATTATTATGATTACAAATTAATATCAATAATTGTAGTGGATGACATATATGAGCTTAGAATCTAATGAGTTTTTAGTTATACTTTATATGATATAAAACTACGAATTGAGAGGATGTTAACAACAACCTAATGGTTGAGCCGGTTAAGCGTCCTCATGGGTAAGAAACCCTCCGGGGTTCGAATCCCTTGGTGTAAATTTTTTTTAATTGTGAAGCATGGGATCTGAATATTGGGCTCTATTCGTTCTTATAGTAATAAGAGGTCTATTGAAAATTTGGGCCCTCGAAAATTACGGGCCCTGTGCGGCCGCACATCTGGCACACCCTCTGGGCCGGCCCTGGAGGCTGGGGATGAGACCGAAAGGGAAGAGGGCTGCACCGGATTTGATATGGGCGCCATAGTAGTCATGCTTGAAGCCGGAGAAGAGAACGCCGACGCGCTTGAAGCTGCTGCTGTGACGGCGGAAGAGGAAGACATGCTGGAGACGCAGTAACGAACGACGTTATGCGGCTGAGTGAACGAAAAAGAGCTAGGGAAACCTAGGCATCTGATACCATATGAAAATAATAATTGGGAAATAATAGCACACCCATCTAGGGTGTTCCCATGGATATATATAATAAACGAATGATGAGTAAATTACAATTATGTCCGCTAATATAGATTATTAAATACTAGTTATAACTTAGATTAATCTGGAAGAATTTCACCAAGGGGGAAGGGAAGAAAGGAGCTGGGAAATTAAAGAAGGCATTTTGAATCAATATAGTACTCTTAAGATCTCCAATATAAGGTCAGTACGTACGTTCCCGCCCCCGTTTAGATTAATTTAAATATTATTATGTTAATTTCCGTCCCCGTTTCCTGTTATGTTATGGGGATGATGAATATTGTATAAACTAGAGATATCTTATTTGTTTTAAGACTTTATTCTTTGAATCTATAGAATTATTATTCTCAATCAATCGTAATATAGCTTGTTAAAATTATCTGAATGAAAACCAATAAACCGTAGCTTAGATGATACTCCGTATGTTTTATATAAATAAACCGTATGTTTTAGTACCTTAGCTTTATAACCTGCATGTATGCATTAGCTCATATCCATGCATATATATACGAATAGTACGACCTGCATATTAGTGTGTGTATATATAAACTTATATATATGTAAGTGTTTAACAATAATATACTATTAACATGCATGCACAATCTAAGGCTTAACGTAAGTATAAAATATATACTTCCAATTAACAATTAATTGATTGATTGATATTATATATATAATATATATGATACGTAGTATATGTTCTCCATGTTACGTGGGTATATGAAGTATAGGAATTCTTAAAATGTATTTCTGGATAACAGGCGTAAAGTATGTATATGAGTTGCTTGCTTATGTGAGTTTACGAACATATATTTTCTAAATGACTTCAGTAGAATTAATACTTTAATTTTATTTAAATTACTATATACGTAAGTAATAATTAAATATTAAAGTTATATTTTCTGAAAAGCCTTGCTCTCGGTCTGGCACTCTGACGCGAATACTTCTGTTCTGTTTAGTGTACTACGTACACTCCTGAAATTCTGTTTTAGAGGAATTAGTGTTCTCCTGTTTAGTGTACTTCGTACACTCCTGAAATCTTTTTAGAACACTATTACTCTTCTGTTAAGGATCGGATCTCTTCGGTGATCTCGTCCTTTCTGATCAGCTAGCTTCTGTCAGGGATTGGTACGTGTAGCTCCGGCGATTACGTTTCCACATCCTTTCTGGGTAATGTGGATACAGACTCGAGACTGTATTCCTTACCGTCAGTATTCCGCTGTCTAGGTCCAGTTTCTTGAGTTTAAGGCTAAGTAAATTAATCTGTCTGATTAATGATACATTTTGAAAGAAAAAAATGAATTATCTGATAATCGGAAATCTGAACTTATTTTGTTATATATATGAATATTCAGAAATACATGAAAGTTCATCCAGTTCACTCAGGTATGGTTATTCGTGTAACACCGCTCCCAATTTAAACTTGGATTTATTAATCCATTGGTATTAAAATCTGAGTGAAAGTACAAATACTAATTTCAACGAGGAAAATTAGTTAAAGTCGTGATTATATATTCACTTTGAAAACTAGTTACAAGTATATCGATCATACTAGAAATGATTAATTGATTAAATTGATACCGATTAAATAAATTGTGAGTCGGACCCCAAAGATGGGGAGGGACAAACTAATATATATTCTTGGACCAAGATAAATTAAATAAAAGCCCAAGGATAAGGGACTATGTAAAATATAATTGTTTGGGCCGAATAAAAGGTAAAGAAATAAGACGAGAGACTATTTGAGTCCACTTACTAATAAATGAAACATAATTGGGTATGAGCCCGAATATTGGGGAGGACCATCCAATACATTTTAGGATCGACCTACTATGGTCTCCTAGCCAAAAATGATATAAATAAAAGTCATTTAGGCCCAACCGAGATATATCAAGTAACCAAAGTGGCATTTTCCCCAACTTACCGAAAATAGCGAGTATAAGGGTGAAGGGTTCCCTACACTTTAATTCGGGGTATCCCACATAAAATGTAACTCATAATAAACGGGAGGATTAATTTGTAAATAGCTTCGGGATGG